AATCGGCCAATCTCGGCTTCGTAGAGCGTTATCTCTGTCGCACGAAACAGTAACAATCCGGTAGGTATTGTGTGACAGAGACAACGCTCTACGAAAAGGATATTAGCCGACTGCCCCTTTCTGTAGGACTTTAAATAGAGTGTATAGTATAAGGAGTAGTATCTCAAAATATAGTGTCCATAATATAGAATACACAAGATAGCGTTTTCCATACAATACGTACTACATTTCAAAGAAAGCGCTAAAATTGTTAGAATATTCGCTACACCACTTTATGAATTGTCTTCTTATGCTGCATTATCGCCATAATGTTCCTATACTCAAAATTGAAAAAATACTTGTTTGTGGACACTTTTTCAGTTAAAAACTGCTATGAGATAATCCTTATACATTACACGCTATAGTCACATATTAGGGGACTTTTTGGTGTTGGTTTGATTTACTCAGGCTGTATTGGATCAATCGTTACGCTCGTTATATACCTTTTATGTGTAATACAATGTCGCTGTGAATACTAGTTCTGTGTTTTTTTAATCGATTTTGTACATGTTTGTGATAATTAAATGTACTTATAAAATTGATTCGTGTTTTTCTCTAGGTTTAATACAATAATAGTTAAAAAAAAGTTAGTTATTTTTTATGTGTATATACAGGGTGGCTTTCCTGACACAGGTGGTGCACACTCGGTAGTATAATCGTTTGTTGAAATAAAAACAAACTTCTTTTTTTTTTTTTCAAAAAAATTCCATTCCTTAGAAAACAGAACTTGTTGATAATGCGGTGGTCATTCATAAATGCGTCGTATACTTTTGAAACGAACTTGCGTGCGTGTAGTTATGAAGGATCGCGCGTAAAATAAATGACTTGCCCATAAATCACGCACATTTTGAGATAAGTTCAAATGAATGTAATCAATTAATTACGAGTGATTTTAAATATTTATCATTTTTAAATAACATTGTTTTTTAAAGAAATAATATAAATCTTTATTGATCTAATATTTACAAGATTAAATAAATTACATTGTTTGTCTAGAATTTAATAAAAAAAAATTGATTAACTTAAAAAAGCCTCCCTGTATTTTAAAATTTCAAACCAGAATTATTATATCGCAAATATATTATACATATATAATTGAATATCGAAAAGATCTGGTAGAAAATATTAGAGAAAAAGTGGGAAATATTTTATTTCAGTGGTACAGTTGCTAGCGATACGCTTCAGCGTCGATTCCTGATACTTTTTTTTGAGCGGCCTAATTTTTCCACATCTGGGTTCGTATAACATTGCAGAAAAGGGCTTCAATTCGTTATCTGTAGCCTATACAGTAGGCCTTATTAAAAAAAGGTAACCATTTGTCAAACTTTAGAGTATTCATCAACTTCAAGTAGTTACGAGTGGCTCTGCTAACTTTTGCGATGATTTGACGTTGGGTTCGTGATCAAACAGCATTTAAAATTAATAATTTCATTGGTTCCGGGATCGAACTCAGGTGCTCGAGGACATTGAATTAAAAGCGAGTGCCCTGGCAATGAGCTATCACGGCTCTCATGTAAAATGTACTAATAAATAATCTATGTATATTAATTATATAAAGCAGTAAGACGAGTCTTTTTCAGAGGCGTATTTAACTTTTGCCATTGTCTGTGGAGCCATATACAGCGTGTCGTTACCACCGCGAACATAAATGATTACACATATAGAGGATAACTTTTTAAAATTGTATTAAACATTTACATTCTTTAAACATCAATATTAACCCAGTTATTAAATTATAAAACTGTAACGTAAAGTTCATTTGTAAAGGTCACAAAGCATATGAATGAGTTGAATGAATTTAAAAGAGATAAAAGATACTGTTAGAAGGAGATGCTTGTAATGCGACGCTGTGGCGCGAGTTGTATAGGATGATACAAATTTTGTTTCTTTTTTACTTAATTAGTTTGTTTGAGAAATATTTTTTTTAATTATGGATTTTGTTTAACGTCAATATTTTTTTATGATTATTGGCAAGTAGCGTTAGACGTGTGTTCCTTTATTGTCGCGATGATAACGACACGCTGTATAATAGTGTCAGTAAAAACAAGTAAAACAATTAATAGTATAAATAAATAATACCTATCGTGTATAATATAATACTAATTCAGTGTAAAATAGACAATCTGTTTGATAAAAGTTGATTTGTTTCACACATTTACATGGAAAAAGAAATAAAAAGCGTTATATAGTATAGAAATACGTGTAATATTCCAACAAAATAAAAAAGGCAAATAAATAAACAAAAAGTCCGCGAGACGGGAATCGACATACTGATTTCAAAGTTCGTTTTATTCATACGAACACGAACCGTTTCAGTCTTGCTTCTAGGAGCGCTTCGCACTCGGTACCAGCTTCAGAATCGGCCCACAACCACTGACAGTTACGTAGACCTTCAGTGGGGAACGCCATCCCCACCAATCGCACATTCGCCATCCTTCCAAACGGCCGTTGGAGCTGTCACTTGGCGCCTCCAGGCCGGCCGTGGTGCACCCTCGCGTGCAGCTTCAGACTGGTGACCTGCACGAACGCCTTCCCGCACTCTTCGCACGCGTACCGCCTGTCGTTCGTGTGTATCCGCCTGTGGAACTCGAGCGTCTTCTGGCGCTGGAAGCACTTCTTGCAGAACTCGCACTGGTACGGGCGCGAGTCGTCGTGCCGCACCATGTGCCGGCGGAGCAGGTCGCCGCTGAACACGCGGAAGCCGCAGATGTCGCAGGCGAACGCGCGCTCCCTCAAGTGGACTCGCGCGTTGTGCTGAACCAGGTTGCTCATCTCCGTGAACACCTTGGGACACTGGGCGCACGCGAACTGGGCGCTTTTCACGTCGTGCACCAACGCCAGGTGGCGCTTCCTCAAGTAGCGGCTGCGCAGAACTTCAGGACATTTGGGGCAGCGCAGCTCAACGTCGCGCGCTGCGCGGCCCGTAGTGTGTACGCTGCGCACGTGGCTGTCTACGTTCGCCTTCGCCACGAACGCCTGGCCGCATATCTCGCAAAGATACGCCGCTGTCTTGTTGTGCAGGCGGTGCGCGTGGGCGAGTAGCGGGCCGAAGAAACGGTACCGCTGGCCGCAGTCGACGCAGCGCATCCCCTCGTCGGAGAGCCTGAACGCGACCAGCTGGCCGGCCGCGCGCTCGTCCACCCGCTCGCCGTGCGATCGCACGTGCTCGAGCAGCTCCTCGAGGGTGCTCCACGGGCGGCGGCACTTCGCGCAGACCGCCTTGGCCTCGGAGAGGTCCAGCTTTATCCGGCTGTAGCCGACCACCGCCCGGAGCAGGCTGGGCGGCTTCGGCCCGCGGTGCTCCTGCCCCGTGTGCCGCTTGAGGGACTCGCTGTCGAGGAAGGGGCAGCAGCAGTAGAAGCACATGTATTTGTTCGCGTACCACTTGAACGGCATTATCGTCGAATACTCGAGAATCGTCGCGAGGAGATCGGCGAGGTCGTCCTTCCGCCTCTTCTCCGATAGGCGCGCGTCCGCCGCGGTCTTCGGTTTGCCTGAAACGGAAAGGAGGTTCAGTTTGACTCGCTTCGCCTTTTTTATTGCAGTTTGCAAAATCGAGCGACGAAGCTAGCCCGTGTGATGTATAATAATCGCCGCGCCTAAAATGTTCAAACTTAGCGGAGAACACAAGTGCTAGTTTTTGAGGAATTTCATTGACATCTATAAAATTTTGTTTTTTCTCTTTTAAGTTAAAGCTTTCGTGTAAATAACACCCTTGTTTATTCGGTATCGGTATATCGGTATATCGGTAATCAGGTTAACGGTAAATCGCACTGAAACTTTTCTAACGGTGAAGCTGTCCATTATTTAATTAAGTGGAGCCTTGAGCTACATATTTTAATAGATACCAAAACAATTTATCGGTAATAGATTATTAAATTATATGTCACCTGGATCCCATGGGACAAAATGACGTGAAGTATTAATGTTTTTTCACCTCCATCCGCCGGTGACGTAATAGAATGCAAACTCGGCTAAGTTCTCAACCAACGTACCAACCACTCCACTTTCGGGAATAATCGCCTAGAATCCCACCAACCGCGTTCCAGTTAGACATCTCATCGAAAAATCGAAATAAGTGAACAGTGTTTCGTACTGTACACTTTTATACAGAGTTATAAAATAAATAAAAGTAAAGGCTAAAAAGAAATTATTTATTCAATGCACAGCACTGAAAACATAATAATATATACGAATCTTTTTTCTAGTCAAATGATTACGCTCCCAGTAACTAAAAAATTCAGAACACATGGTCATCTTACTGCAACCGCGTCCACAGTCCGTAGAAGACTAGATAAACATAGCACTCCAACACGCACGTTGACGACGGTATCGAGAAATATCATATCTTCTAGTCTGTCTCTGTCTGTCGCTCTTCTTGGGTCTTCTCTCAGCTCTTGTGCACGTTAGCGCAGTGCTGCTTCATAGTCTTGCCGCTCTTGAACCCCTTGCCGCACTGCGGGCACTGGACGTCCCGGGCCGTGCTGTGGCTGAGCATGTGCTTCTTGAGTGCGTGACCGCCAAACGACCTCCAGCCGCACACGGCGCACTCCGAGTCGCGCTCGCGTAAGTGCGTCTGGCGGAGGTGGCGCTGCATCGTGCTGCGGAAGAGGAACGTGCGCGGGCAGAGGTGGCAGCTTACCGCCTGCCGGTCGCCGTGCGCTAGCATCGAGTGGCAGGCGCGCTTGTACTGTGTGGCAAACGCCTGCCCACAACCGTTGCACGCGTAGCGCTGGCCGTGCTCGCGTTGCATGTGCGAGCGGAGCGCGGTGTAGCGAAGCTTGACGGCGCATTTCGTGCACTCGACGCCGCCGCTGTGCTCTGAGCGTATGTGGTTGCGCAAGTAGCCGATGCTTTTGTAGCTCTGGCCGCAGACCTCGCACAGCACCTCGCCGGCGCCCTTGTGCTCTCTGTGCGCGTGGACAAGCGCGTGGCTGAACGCGCGGAAGCGCCGCTCGCACAGCACGCAGTGCACAAACTCGTCGTCTAGCTTGTAAGCGGTGAGGCAGCGGGCGGCTTCCCGGTTGAAGTTGACGCCGTGGCAGTGAACCAAGTGGTCGATGAGTTGGTGCAGCTCGGAGATCGGCTCGGCGCAGAGCCTGCACGCGATCCGAGATACGTCCACGTACACCGTAGACTCCCAGTGGACGTCGAGGGCGGCGGCGAGCTCGGCCCTCGTGTCGTGGCCGTTCTGGTGCTCCCTCCACTCTTTTGGCGTCTTGAACAGATCGCGGCAGAAGAAGCAGCGGTAGTTCTTCTGCAGCCATCTGAACGGGGTCAGGGTGGAGTTCAGCAGGACTTGGCTGACGTTGTCCCTCATGATCTGTCTCTTTTCCTTCGCCGTGAACCCTCGCCGCCTCTGTATGGGGGGCAACGGGCAACTGTCATCCGAATCGATTTCCACAGTCGCCTCTGGGCCCCTGATTACGTCTGGGTCCCTCGGTGGCGGTACTTCGCCTGAAAGGAAAAGCCCCGCTTAGAAATCATTTCACATTTACCAGTCGGAGCTCATAATCCCTGGCATGATTTGTCGCTGGAATTTTATATATCGCTTTCACTCTTGATCATGATACAATATCGGGCCCTGAATGATCAAATACTTAATGACTTCTCATGTTAATTACACGCAATTCCACAAAACTCCACGAAATAAAACGTAGCGTGATAAATCGATTTTTATTCAAATGTCATAGGAGCAAAAGCATGGGTATCTACTAAAATGTATTTTTTTGAGAACAGTATTGCCAATTTATTAAGGGAAATATTTATGTAGAATATAAAATAAATATTTTAATCAGTAACGACGTCCATATGTCGTAATCAATTAATTTCGCAAAACAAAACATTTGATAAAGACAGTTCTTCGGTGCAGTATCGTTTACGTCATGGATTAGTGAATACGTCATGCAATAAAAGACCAAACTTCGCCATATTTTTATAATATATTTACGAATTCTTACAGATCATGTCATGCATGAAGCTTTGATGTTGCTTACAGAAGGAAATTATATTAATTCATCACAGACGACTGTAATACATATAATTGTGATACACAAGAGTCGATTACAAGGGGACTCATTCACAAAACTCAACCAATCAGCAGCGAAAGGTAACGAACCAGCCCTCGCAATCGAGCACTGCAATCTTTTTTGAACGATGACCGTTTCTTCCAGACACCGACAGAGGGCCGTCACTGACGAAGTAAAACTAACTGCTACCGATAGACCGACCCTGGCCGTGTCAGCTGTTTGTGAAGTGTAGACCATCACTGGGAGCCGTAGGGATTCTCATACGGCATCTGCTGCTGCGCCTTGTGCATCCTGGCGTAGTGCGCCCTCATGATCTTCTTCGTTGTGAACGCCTTGTCGCACGCGTCGCACTTGAAGTTCTTCTCGCCGCTGTGCTTATACATGTGGTTCTTCAGTCGGTTGCTGTTGAACGCCCTCCAGCCGCACACGCCGCACACGTGGTTGCGCACTTTGAGGTGCGTGTCCCGCAGGTGGGTCATCATCATGCTCCTGAAGACGAAGGTCTTCGGGCAGTGGAGGCACTTCACCTCCTGCCTGTTCTTGTGCTCGGACGCCATGTGCCTCGAGCGTTTGTAGTGGCTCTGGAAGGTCTGCGGGCAGACGGAGCACTTGTAGCGCTTCTCCAGCTCGTGCTGGTTCTTCTGGTGGGTCTTCAGCTTGGAGCGCGTCTCGAACTTGACCCGCACTCGGGGCAGAGGACGCCGGCGTTCTCGTGCACCGACTTGACGTGCGAGCGAAGCAGATTGGCGTCCTTGAAGTTCTGGCCGCACACCTCGCAGAGGATCGCCGAGACGCCCTTGTGGTCTTTGTTCGTGTGGTGGAGCAGCGGGCCGAACGTGTAGAAGCTGGCGCCGCACGCGAGGCAGTTCACCGAGAGGTTGTCCAGCTTGAAGGCCACCATGCACACGCCTATGTCCTTGTCGTAGCCGACGCCGTGTTTCGCCACGAGGTGGTCGATCAGGTCGTAGAGGTCGGAGACCGGTTCGGGGCACAATTTGCACGCGATGCTCGATATGTCCACGTAGACCACCTGCTCCCAGTAGTTGTTCATCGCCTGCTCCTTGACGCTGTCGCCCACGTGTACCCGCTGGTGGTCCTTCAGCTCGGACGACTCCTGGAATATGTCGTAGCAGTAGAAGCAGCGGTACGAGCTCTTCAGCCACCGGAACGGCATGACGGTCGACTTCAGCAACACCTGGAGGACGTTCTGCCTCATCGCTCTCAGCCTGCCCTTGGGTGTTGTTGCCGGTTTGGACGCCGTATCGGCTCGGGGTGGTTCATCGTCAGCGTACGTCGTCGGGCCAATAACGTCGGCGGACCGTTTCGACGCTTTCTGACCACCCCTAGGCTCGCCTGGAAGGAAATCGTTCGCTGTTTACTGTTCGCATATATTCACCTCTCGGACGGTGGTCAGAAATCCCACGCGGTCAGTTGATTACGCTTAAGTTGTTGCAGAAAAAATACTCGCTTCTCAATGGTCATATTGCGGTTTGGTTTAGAATAGTAGTTTAACTGTCACGTTTAGGGCCTTAAAAGCTTGGTGATAGGTAGGCGTTACCTATTATGACAGTCTTCATTGTCAGACTTAGTCGAGACTAAGAGCTTTTTCTCCAGTACTAAAGTAAACTTGAGTGAATCTTTAACATATGTCTATTTTTGTGGACACAGCTAAATCTCTCTCTCGAAAAATTTTTATACCAAAGAAATAGGGTCCATTTTCGTTTATTAATGGCATTACGACACAGAAATAGGACGTAACCAGAGCAGAAATGAAGAAAAAAAACCGCAAAATCAAATCTGCTCACAGACAATCAATCACCCATAATCTGGTACAAATCATAAACAACTAAGGGAAAAGAAAAACAAAACTTAAATTGAGAAAACGTGCCAAATATTGAGAGTATTATACGACGTTATAAATCGTCAACGAACAAATGCAAAAAAAAATCAGTTTTCTCAGAGCTCGGAGCCATTAGATACTTCATATGAATCCTTCAATTTTAAGTAAACACCATCATTATCATCCGGAAGACGTCTACTGTTGAACAAAGGCCTCCCTTCCTCCACTTTAGACGCCACAACGAACTACACTGCACATACATCCACCGGTTGTCCACGACCCTTACGATGTACTCAGTACCCTTGTTATAATATACATATAATACATAAAATATATAATAACCCGGCCACGCTTCGCTGTGGCTTTTTGTTCCCCTTGGAAATTCTGAATAAAAAGTATATTTCGATGACTCCGTGGCGCAGTCGCCGCGGTATCGGCTTCGGCGTCGGGGGTCGTGGGAAATTCCTATCACACGGGGGAAACTATTTGTGTGACCCACAGATAGTTGTTTCGCATCTGGGTGTTTGTCCGTGTAAAATTTATGTTTGTAAAAGTACATACAGGATATGTTATCCTAAAGTAAGGGCATCCCGTTACAAAAAAGCAATCCCGTTCAAAAGCTATATTGTGAACAATTTTATCAAGAGTCCATCATCTAGTTTTTGGGTTTTACAGACAGGGAGACAGACTCTTTCCTATAAGCCAAATATGCCAGGGACTAGGGCGGCATTACTTGGTGGGATTTTTTAGTAGACGCGCCTTTCAATCAAGCGACCATGATGAGTAAGTTTACCTTTTTCATTCCTATGCTTCATTTACTTTTTCGTGTTTTAGAGAGAGTAGGGATTTTAGGGCGACCAAAAGATGAAATCCATCTCTGTTTGTGGACACAAAAATACGGAAGGATAAGTAGTTGCTGAATCTGCTAAAGCTATCCTCCATATACATATAAAAGGAACACGATACAGAAGAATTGCTTGTCCTGGAAATCTAAACCGGTAATTTCAGCAAACGTATTTACTGTAAAAAAGGAGGCAAACGAGCATTGATGCTAACCAAGTGATCACAGCCGCCCATGGACATTCGGAACACCAGAACAGTAAGAAATGCCATTTGGGTCTTTGAGGTAATAATAGGCCCTACCTTGATATTCTTTGAGGTAGTAATAGCTCCCGATATTTATGTCATATTTGTCCAGACATACCGCTAGTGGTAACTGACTAAACAAATTGGTGGTCTGTAGCAGAAAATTTCGTGATTTCGAAGGGTACCATCATTTAATATTTCTTTTATATTATTTCCAAGTAAATATCTCATAATATACAGGACTCATATGGTGATAACAATAATTTTTGAAATGTTTCGTACATTCTTTGTATTATTAGTATATCAATGACGGTGTGAACGTCCGTACGTCACTAAATTCACAGGCCCATTGAAAACCAGCGCTGTAGTCTCGTATCGACTGCGGCATTAAGCTGAGTGAGGTCTGTTTGCCGTATACGACACACATAACTGTGTGTGTAAAATGTGTGATGTGTTTAATAATTTTTTTCTTCTTCTTCTTTTTTTTTTCTTTTTACTATGTATTTTTTATGTTTATGGTTTAAATGTACATGTGGCGTATTTGTGCAATAAATGTTTTCTCTCTTTCTTTCTATTTGGAATGTCTTCGCATGGGATGTCATGATAAAAAAACTAAAACGAAATAGCATTTTGTATGTGTTGATCATAAGATTGGTTTTATAGAAAAGTTTTAGTTACTGAAATAAATTCGTGCACTTGCAAATGCCCTGAACAATGCTAAAGTTATTTTCAATTCGAACGAAAAGAAAAAACCAATTCTATTTGACTACAATTTGGTCGTTTTTATGTGTTTTTTTAACCGGTGAGATTTCGACGTTAGCAACGGTACACGAAATAACCTAAAACCGCCCAAAGGAACGAGACGCACCTTAACATCCTCAATGTATGTACTGTCCCGTCAGCTCGGCGCCTTCTATCTCGTCCCGGACGAATTCCATCTGGACGATTTCCGAGTCGTCCAGCTCGTTGGCGATGCCCACGCTTTGGTCCGAACCGCTCTTGACCTCTAGTGGGTGCCTGGTCTTCAAGTGCACCTTCAGGTTGGGCTCGTGCGCGAAGTCCTTACCGCACACGCTGCACGAGAACCTCCTGGCGGCGTCGTGGATCGCCGAGTGCGTGTTGAGGTTGTTCTTCTTCGAGAACTTCTTCCCGCATACCGCGCAGACGAACTTCTTATCGCCGTTGTGCTTCAGCATGTGCAGCTTTACGTCGTACGGGCCGAAGAAGCGGTCGCCGCAGACCTCGCACTCCACGTTCTTCTCCCTGAGGTGGACGCGCCTCATGTGGCGCGACATTATGCTCTCCTGCGGGTACACCTTCGGGCAGTAGGGGCATTTGATCCTCAGCTCCTCGACCCCGTGCACGTTCGCCAGATGGAGCTTCTTGAAGTACGGGCTCTTGAAGGTCTCGGGGCAGTGGGGGCAGGTCGAGAGGTTCACCATGTGGACGTTCTTCTCGTGCAGTATCTTCTTCGAGAGGGTCGCCAGCGTTATGCCGCAGTGCTCGCACGTGTAGCCGCCCTCCCGGTGGTAGTAGCGGTTGTGCATCTTCAGGTGGTTCTCCCCCTGGAAGCTGGTGCCGCACACGTCGCATATGTAGTCGTGCGATAGGTGGTGTTTGTTCGCATGCCGCAGTAGATACTCGAAGAAGACGAACTTCGTGTCGCAGATGGGACACGTCGGCTGGTCGCGGTCTAACTTGAAGGGCAGCAAGCAGTTGGGCACGCTGAGGTCGTATTCGGCGTCGTGCGCAATGATCAGGTGGTGGATCAGCTGCTCGAGGTCGTTGACCGGCCTCGAGCAGAGCTTGCACGAGATCCCAGTTACGTCCACCTTCACGGCGGCGTCGCGGTTGCGGTTGTTCTTCGTGCGGTCGAACACGACCAGCTCTAGGTTGGCGAACTGGTGCGCCTTCGCGGTGTGCTCCCTCAGCAGCTCGGGCTCCTTCATGGGCTCGGAGCAGTAGAAGCAGCGGTAGCGGCCCTTGTACCACATGAACGGCGTAACGTTGCCGTATTGCAGAACGTACTCGACGTTGCGGCGCTTTATAGAGAGCTTGCGCGCTGTCTCGCTTTTCTTATATCTGTCCTCTACCGTGCACAATTTCGCACCTGGAAAGACAATTTTCTCTCTTTACTCTCTTTTTGCCTGGACGCCCATGGAGGCGATGGCTAGACGCCGTGAAGGAGGACATGAGAGCCAATGGACTGACCCCTGAGGTTGTTGAAGATCGGGAAAAGTGGGAGAGTTTGATTAGGAAGGCAGACCCTGGCAATAGTCGTGACTTATGCCAGGTAGAAGAAGACTCTCTTTGGACTCAATTACCCCGTTTTTTTCCGTTCGCTTTCTTTTGTCTCTTGTCTATGCAGAGTTGTTAGGGGTTTGTTTGGTTCGTTTAATGTCTGATTTAAACTTTTAATGTTTTAGAAGACACTGGACATTTTAAGGGACAGAAATAAGAAACGTAAGACAAGTTTCACAGATATATTTCATACAAACTCTCGCGCTCATAAAACAGCTTAAATTTACCGTTATTTAAATTCATACAAAAATCTATTACATTAAATAATTCCAAAACATTCTGATTTATCTTACACTATTGAAAAATCATAGGAATCAGATCTTCACAGCAGCTTTTTTATTTTATTTACAAGTTTATCGATTTTTATACAATCTGTATTATATTAGCTAGTTTTAACATTTTCTATAACATCAATGGAAATGGAAAATTTTCTTAAAATGTTTTCTTAAATCTACGAATATCATAGCCTATTAAAATAGTATACATACAATATTTTACATTATGAACCTCACAAGGAAGTAGTCGTAGAAGAGAATACGAGATAATTAAAATTACCACTATTAGATGTCATGGAATGAGGTGTTAATGGAGATTCTTCCAACAACGCTGTATTGGAGTCACGTCTATAGATTAAAGTTAGCAGGAAGGAAGTAAAATTTTACGGTGGTAGGGCCACGCACGAATGGGCACGTCCGTCCGGGTAAGTACCACGACCTCACAGAAGACCGGCGTAAAGTAGAAGTGTCACACTTCTGCATTTCGTATGGTGAATGAGGTAGCCGGAGCCCGCATCATAAAAGGTGGCAACGCATCTGCCACGCTACGGGTGGTGAGTGTACTTGGGCGGCGGTTATCACTTAACATCAGGTCAACCGCCAGCTCGTTTGCCACCTTCTCACATAAAGGTATACCTACTAACTTATTACGAATAATTAAACCACGGCAAACACAGATCCATTAGGAGATAAGTTAGCTGACTCATCCCTCCACAGGATTATAAATTGTAATACACAAAGTAGGCAAATAAATGATATTCTGATTCTCACATAAAGAACCTGAACTTAAGGATAGCGGAGAAAGTAAGGTTTAATCAGACTTATCTTAATTCAAAGCAAATACGTTTGGACTCGGTTACCGATAGAATTCGTCGCAGATCGTTGGCTAAATGTATGTTGATTCCCGCGTTCTCGTTTAATGTGGAAGCACGTCATTATAAAAATGTTTTTTTTTTTTAATATTACAAAACGATATGTAGAATGGCGTTCACACAATCGTATATGACACTGTAATACTGCATGCGTCCCACAACTCAACACATGGATTCGGGCAGATGAGAGATGAACTACTTAGTAAAAGAAATATGGGATACATTTCTTTGCGTCGACACATAAAAAATGTGGAGGTATTTAATGGTAAATAAAAAAAAAACTTTTGTAGGAATAACGAAGTAATAGACAAAAAAAACTCGAACCATCCTTGATTTTTATTTGCCCGATTGGCGTCCTAACCGACGAGCGGATGGATAAAGCACAGCTGAGATTCAAAAGGGAAGATCAACGAGCAAAATTTCCAATCCACGAATCCACAGTACAAAACGCAAAATTTTATAGGAATGCAAAATCCACATAGAAATTTTCCAACAGACGAATCAACTTGGAGAATTTCAATCGCTGAATATGTACAGCGGCATGTTTATACATGTATTATATTTGATTATTTACAAAAGAAAAGTAAGTTATATATAAACATACTTAGTTTATCAGTTATCTAGTACCCATAATAAAACAAACCCGTGTGCGAAACATTTCTTTTTACAGAGAACGCGTTTCGTACGCGAGCTAAGCCTGCTGCTGCGAGTGGCCGTATTTCTTGTGCATCTCCTTGTGGGAGCTCAGGTTGCTCCTCCTCAGGAAGGCCTTGCCGCAGACGTCGCAGCTGAACTTCCTCTCGCCCTCGTGCTTCACCATGTGCATCCTCAGCAGGTAGTTGTCGAAGAATCTCTCGTTGCAGACCGAACACGCCACGTTCCTCTCCTTCAAGTGGGTGCGGCGCACGTGGTCCTTCATGAACGAGTTCCTGGTGAACATCTTGCCGCAGTGAGCGCACCTGTGGCCTATATCGTGCGCCTCGATCAGGTGCTTCTGCTTGTGGTACTGCGAGCGGAAGAGCTCCGGGCACTTGGGGCACTTGTAGTCCATCGCGTCGTGGTGCCTCGCCATGTGGCGGCTGAGGCACCACTGGTTCTTGTACTTGCCGCCGCACACTTCGCACTCGCACGCGCCCGTGTGCGCGTAGGTGATGTGCACCTTCAGGTTGGTCACGCTCTTGAAGCTGCGCCCGCAGAAGTCGCAGATGCGGTTGTTGTTGCTGTGCTCCGAGTTGATGTGGCGCAGCAGGATGCCGAAGTACCTGAACGTGCGGTCGGGGCAGAGCGGGCACGGCACGTTGTCCTTCATGACCCTGTACGGCTCCAGGCAGCCCGTTACGCTTTTATCGTAGTTGGCGTCGTGCCGGCAGATCAGGTGGTCGATCAGAACGTCCAAGTCCGGCATGGGCTGCCCGCAAACCTTGCAGCCGAGGCCCGTCACGTCCACCTTCACGGTGATCCTCTCCCCTTTGCACTTCTTCATGCTCTTCGACTTCAAATCGCAGACGGGATGCTCCGATACCGTGTGCTCCTTAAGCTCTTCGAACTCGACGAATTTCTTCGAGCAGTAGAAGCAGCAGTACCTAGCGAAGAACTTGAACGGCAGCGCTGTCGACATATTGAGGACGCACTGTATGTTCTGTCTTATCTGCGCGACATTCTGCTTCTTCCTCGGCTGCAGAGGACCGTCTGCGGGCTTTCCCTCGCTCCGATCTGTTTGCACGAGAACGTTGCCCTTGCATTTGTTCATGTGCTGCTTTAGACCTTGGGGGGAGTGAAGCTGTTTTGAGCAGTGCGGACACTTGGCCGTGCCGTCGTCTGGGTGCTCGCTTTGGACATGCTTCTGCATTAGTCTGTACGTGGCGAAGGTCGAGCCGCAACGCTTGCACTTCCTGAAGTGGAAATCGTTTCGGTGTCTCCGCAGGAGCGCGTGCGAATCGAAACTAGTGGAGCACTCGGCACAGGGGTAGCCGTCCGGGCGGTGGTTGCGGCGCAAATGCAGCGCGAGGTCCCGCTTCTTGTTGCAGCTAACGCCGCACTCGTCGCAAACGAACCTGTTGCGCGGATGGGCCAGGTTCACGTGATTGACCAGGTAGCCGAAGTATGTGAACTGCTGCTGGCAGAAGAGGCAGCGGAAGTCCGCGAGCCTGTATGCCTGGAGTGGAGTCTCTATCCGTGTGTCGTAATCCAGGTCGTGTTTTCCGATCAAATGGTCGATTATCTCGGCCAAAGTTGTAAAAGGCTCGCTGCATATCTTGCATGTTACGTCAGACACGTCGATTTTGATCTCGACGTGGTTCCCCTTGATCAATTTCAACGAGTAATCCTTCGTAGTGCAGGGGCCGTGGGAGAGCGTGTGTTTTATAAAGTTCGCGTACTCTGGGCAGCTCTTCCCGCAATAGAAACAGAGGCAACTGCCGCGCCATTTAAACGGCAAAATGGACGTGTTGTTCAACAGGATTTGCAAGTTGCTCCTTCTCCTCTCTGAGGTACAGTTCTTGTATGGGCCTTGGGGTACTTCATCTGAAAAGAAACGACCCTTTTCTGTAATTTTAACGTATTATCAAAGCAAGCCCTTCACTTTAGGTCTCCACTCGCGTCATACTCTCTCGTTTGGCACTTGACCAAGTCGCGTTTCTTGTTCGCGGTCGCACTTCTCATTAGAAAACAACGAAAAGGATGCGTTTTGTTCTCGTGGTTCACCAGCTTATTGAAGAAACTGAAACGCTGCTTGCATAGCAGGCACTTATAGGCATACAGGCATAACAGGCATAGGCAGGATATTTTTTTATGGAGAAAAGGGGCAAACGAGCACGAGGCGCACCTGATGGTAAGTGATTACCGCCGCCCATGAACACCTGCAACACTCGAGGCTTACAAATAAATGCGTTGCCGGCCTTTTAGAAAAGACTATGCTCTTTTCTTGCAGGTTCCCAGGTCGTAACGGTACGGAAAGATCGCCGGCGGCAACTGGTTCCACAGAGTGGTTGAAATCTTGAAGTAGTAAGTAGTAAGTGTAGCACGATATACCTAAACGCACGTCCTTATTGTACGACAAATGGACTGCGAATGACAAATGATCGATCATTTCGTCGACACCGTCGAACGATTGACCGCAGTTTCTTGCAGGTCTAGTTTAGTGAACCGGTGGGAGTTTTTGACGTTCAAATAGAACTTAAAAAGTCTCCGTCGAATAAAGAAATTTTGATTGACTTTTAACATGCAAGCTGTAACCGATACATCGATCTTGAGTTCGGAGTGCGATTTAATTTCATGTTTACGTATTTTTGTTCAATAAACGTTATTCCTAAATAATGATTCTGTACCCCAGAGGTAAACAGCATTATGCGACAAAAACACAAATTTTACAGGAGAGGCAAAAATGCGTGGAGAGAATAATTGAATGAATTATTGATTATGATACCATATATACGAATGAATATAAACCTAATCAGTACTTTGACTTGTTAAAAGGCTCTCGCGCAAGAGAATTTGTACGTTCTATTTACGTGATCTTAGACTGTACCTAGATCGGAATTATCTTTCGGCGAAAGATTTTGCAGAGTAGCCAGCAACCAACGCGCCTATCGCGTCTCTATGATAATAAATGGATCTAGTTACTGTACTGCAAATAACACGTGGTGTCCTAATGAAATCGGTGGCATTTTAAAATAATATACATAGTCTAAAAACGCCTTACACACTGTGTAACTGTAAACGGTCAGCCATGTTTAATATTAGAGTGGCCATTGAACACAATACAGAAGCTTAAGAAACCAATGAATGCCTAAAAGGTCCCTAACAAAAACTACCTAGTTCTTTCTAGGTACCAGCTGTTCGGGGAATTACTGATTTATGCGCGACGTTCTGCTCCTTCCTAGGCCGTAGAAGGCCGTCGGGGCTGCCCTCGGCCGGATCTGTGTGCGTGGGAAAGTTGATTGTGCATTTGATCATGTGCAGCTTCAGGCCGTGGGGGGAGCGAAAGTGCTTCGAGCAGTGCGGACACTTGATCGTGCCGTCGTCTGGGTGTTCGCTGCGTACGTGCTTCAGAAGGAGGCTGTACGTGCCGAAGGCCGAGGCGCAGCGCTCGCATTTCATGAAGTGGATGTCTTTCTGGTGCTCGCGCAGGAGTGCGGGCGAATCGAAACTCGTGGAGCAGTCGGCACAGGGGTGGGCGTCGGGGGGGTGGTCGCGGCGCACGTGGAACATTAGGTCCCTCTCCTTGTTGAAGCTGATGCCGCACTCGTCGCAAACGAAACTGTGGCGCGGATGGGCCAGGTTCACGTGATTGACCAGGTGGCCGAAGTATGTGAACTGCTGCTGGCAGAACAGGCAGCGGAAGTCCGCGAGCCTGTACGGCTGGAGTGGAGTCCTTATCCGTCTGTCGTAATCCAGGCCGTGTTTGCCGATCAGATGGTCAATTATCTCGTCCAAACTTGTAAAAGGCTCGCTGCATATCTCGCATGTTATGTCCGACACGTCGACTTTGACCTCGACGTGGTTCCCCTTGATCAACTTCAGGGAGTCGTCCTTCGTGGTGCATCGCCCGTGGGAGAGCGTGTGTTTTACAAAGTTGGCGTACTCCGAAAAGCTCTTCCCGCAATAGAAACAGAGACAACTGCCGCGCCATTTGAACGGCAATATGGACGTGTTGTTGAACAGAATTTGCAAGTTCCTCCTCCTCATCTCTGGGTTCTTGTATGGGCCTTGCGGTACGTCATCTGAAAAGAAACGACCCCTTTCTATAATTGTAACTTATTACCAAAGCAAACCCTTCACTTTACTTCTCCGCTCGCGTCATACGCTCTCATTTGGCAATTGGCGGTTCTATTGTGCGAGGTCATGTGACCGCGGAGGTTCTTCTTCCACAGGAACCCCTTGCCGCAAACGTCGCAGTGGAAGTTCCTTTCGCCGTAATGCTTCACCATGTGCATTTTGAGACGCTGCGCGTCGAAGAACCTGTCGCCGCAGAGGGGACATTCGACGTTGCGCTCTTTCAAGTGTGTGCGTCTGACGTGATCGACCATGAACGAGTTCCTGATGAACAGCTTGCCGCAATGGGGGCACGCGTGCCCGATGCCGTGCACCCGGATCGAGTGGCGCAGCATGCTGTAGCGGGAGACGAATCTCTCCTCGCACTGCGCACACGCGACTAACTTGGCGCCGTGCTCTTTGCCCAGATGCGCTCGCAGCTGACCGCTGCTAGCGAACGCGCTGTTGCAACGCTCGCACGCGAACGCAGCGGCCCTGTGGCGACGCGACACGTGCGCCCTGAGATTCGGATGCGTCCTGAAACACCTGCCGCAGTACGGGCAAACGTTCCCGCTGCCGGCGTGCGACGCGCTAACGTGCTTCAGGAGCATTGGAAGTAACGGTACACCTCGCCGCAAATCGGGCAAGCGTAGTTCTCCTTCGCGAGCTTGTATGGCTGCAAGTGGGTGAGCATTTCTCCGTCTATTTTAGCCTTGTGCTCGGCGGTCAAATGGTCAGTTAGATGGCTCAAATCGGACAGTGGTTCGTGGCAAACCCTACAGGATAGAGAGGTGGTGTCAATTTTGATGCGGCCCTCATCCCTGTTCCGCAACTTCATTGACTTTAATCCTATGTCGCACAGAGGGTGCACCGTTACAGTGTGCTGCTTTAAATCGTCGCAGTCGACGAAGTCTTTGGGACAATAGAAACACCGGAACTTGCTCATATAATATTTAAAAGGTATCGCCGTGGACATGTTCAAGATGCAAGCTAAACTATTTCTTAGCAGTTTCACGGAAGGTTTCTTTTCCTTATCGTCTATAAACGGATCATTGGACATTTTGACACCATTGATCTGGCGAGTACAGCACGACGCGTGCCGCAGAAAACCCTGCTTTGTCGTCATAACCTTAAGGCAGAATCCGCATTGCAGCCCGTCGGAGGCATGGTCGAGCTTCATATGCTTCAACCTTTTGCTGTCCGAAGGAAAGTACGCGAAACAGATACTACAAGCCGAGGGGTGAGCGTTCATTTTGTGAGTGTGCAACTCCGTATTTGACTGGAATGTGGCCGAGCATCGCGTACACGGGTAACATTTCCTATGATGCGACCTCACGTGCGCGTCCAAGTCTCGTTTCTTGTTAAATTCCCGATCGCACTTCTCACATGAAAAACAACGGACCGGATGCGTTTTGTTCACGTGATTCACCAGCTGGTTGAAGAAACCGAAACTCTGATCGCAAAGCAGACACTTGAGATCGGAGAGCCTGTAGCGCGATATATCTAAACGCACGTCCTTATCGTACGGCAGACGGTGCGCGAATGACAAATGATCGATCATTTCGTCGAAACCGTCGAACGATCGTCCGCATAACACGCAGGCAGTGACCGATACGTCGATTTTGACTTCGGAGTCGGGCGATTTGACGAGTCCGATCGCCCGATCGGTTTCTCTAAAGGGTTTGTGCGTCTCAGTGTGTTCCCTGAGCTCAATTAGTCCGGGCATTCCCTCGCCGCAGAAGAAACACATGTACCCTCCGCGCCATTTAAACGGTACCACGGTCGTATTGTTGAATAGGACCACGAGATTGCGGCGCCTCGACTTATTCGCGCTTGGCGGTTTTGCGCGCCCCGCCCTATCTGCAAAGAAAGTCACCGTCTTGTAAAATGCACCCTCGCGAACTGCGCGGGAAAATGGAGGGTACTTTTACATTTAAGTTTTGCAACGAGCAAATTACGCGTGAGATAAAAAGTGACGATTTTAAAATTTTTATTCTTTCAATGTAATCGGCTTGTTTGTTTAAGTGTCAATGTTATTGTTCAATAAAACCTTAATAATAATTAAATATCGTAAACCTAATCAGCGCGGAGGTTTTTAAGGGCTCTTGCGCTGGAGAGTTAGTACGATCTTTGTAAGTGATCTAAAACTCTGCATAAAACATCTTAATTACCTTTTTGCGAAAGAGCTCACATCAGTAAATTCCAGCAGGAAACGTGCTTATCTTTATAATAATAATAAATCAAAGCTGAATTGTACACCAATTCAACAAATTATCCGTAGCGTAATTAAATCGGTGTGGTTAAGTCTATATATAGTGTTACAACGATAAATACATAAAAGTTAAATATTTACTACTAGGTTGGGAATTGGTCCAATATAAAGTGGCATAAGAAACAAATTAATCTCTAAAAGATCTGTAACAAAGACGACCTAGTTCATGGCTCTTCGGGGAATTCGCTCTTCCCGCAAATTCGACCAACACTCCCCCCCCCCCCCCCCCCCATCCAATAGCCGCACACTCACACCCCCACCGCAACCGCTCCAGCGGGCGCCGAACAGTGCCCCGTCGCGTGCGCCCTCAGCCCTCGCCGCCACCGGAACCTCTCCCCGCACACCGCGCACCCGAACCCACCCCCTCCGTCCCCCGATCCCGGCTCCCCCGCGCCGCCGTGCCGCCGCATGTGGCGCCGCAGCAGCGCGCCGTTGAAGAAGCGCGCGCCGCACACCGCGCAAACGGCGTCCCTCACCTTCAGATGCGTGCGGAGCGCGTGGTCGCGGGCGAACGAGGCGCGCGTGAACAGCTTCCCGCAGTGGGCGCACCTGTGGCCCGAGCCGTGCGCGTCTATAAGGTGCCTCTGGCGCGAGTGCTGCGTCGCGAACGCCTCCGGGCACTGGGGGCACTTGGCGGTTCGCGCGCCGTGCGCCTTGGCCATGTGCGCGTAGAGGGCGGACGGCGTGCCACAGTCGAGGGCGCACGCGGCGCAGCGGAACCGGCCCGCGGCGTGGTGCCGCCACACGTGCACGCGAAGGTTCTGCTCGCGGCCGAAGGCGCGGCCGCAGTGCGCGCATATCAGCCGGTTGCCAGCGTGCGCCGAGTTCATGTGCTTCAGCAGAGTGCCGAAGAAGCGGAACTGCTCGGGGCAGAGGGGGCACGGGACCCGCTCCCCGGACAGGCGGTACGGCTGCAGGCAGCCCGTGATCGACCTGTCGTAGTCGGCGCCGTGCACCGAAGTCAGATGATCGATCAGCTCATCGAACCCGTCCAGCGGACGGGAGCAGAGCTTGCACGCGAGCTCGGACACGTCTATCTTCACGCACGCGACCGACTCGCGGCACTTCCTTATGCACTTTTGCTTTACGTCGCACACGGGGTGCTCGGCTACGGTGTGGGCGCGCATCGAGTCCGAATCGTCGAAGTCCATAGAGCAATAGAAGCAGTTAAACTTGTTCTTGTAGAAGTTGAACGGGAGCGCTGTTGACATGTTGATCACGGTGACGATGTTCTCGCGGATGCGCTTCACGCTCGGCCTTCGTGTGGTGTCGACGATACCGTCGTCCAGGTCCATCACGCCTGGCGGTTCGCGTTTTACGACAGCCTGCTCGTCGCAGAGGCCTTTGCACTTTCGCGAGTGCATCCTAAGCCCCTGTCTTGTGTGGAACTCTTTCGAGCAGTTGTCGCACTGCAGCGATCCGTTATCCGGGTGCTCCATGTTCATGTGCTTCTGCTTGAGGGCGGCCGACGGCAACCTCAGCTGGCAGACCTCACAGCGAGTGATGTGGCGGTTGCTCTTGTGCTTCCTCAATACGTTTAGGGAGGGGAAGCTCATCGGGCACAGTTCGCAGGTGTAACCGCCTTCGCGATGGTAGTTCTTCATGTGCGAGAACAGGTCCCGTTTCTTGTTGAACCTCTGGTCGCAGCTGTCGCATATCAGGCAGTTCTTCGGGTGGGTGCTGTTCACGTGCGACACTAGGTATCCGAAATAAGTAAATGTCGCTTCGCACGACAGGCACTTGAGGTCCGCCAGTCTGTATTCCTCTATCGCCATGTCGACGGTCCTGTCGTACTGCAGCTGGTGTGCGGCGCCCAGGTGGTCCAGTAGAGCGTCCAGGGTCGTTTGGGGCAGCCCGCACGCACGGCAACTCAGGTCCGACACGTCCACCTTGACCTCCATGTTCTGACCGCCCTTCAGGACCTTCATCGAATGGTCCCCGATGGAGCAGTCCCCGTGCGCGGTGGTGTGCCGCCTCAGCTCCGTGTACTCGGCCAGGTCTTTGCTGCAGTAGAAGCATAGGTACCGGCCGCGCCACTTGAACGGTATGACCGCGCTGTTGTTGAATATTAGCAGCAGGTTCCTCCGGCGGCGCATTGAGCACGATTCGCCGCCTTTGATTTTGCGCCCAACGAGACCTGGAAACGGAAACGTTCGCCGCTGTAGATGCGCCCAAGCGTCCGGTGCGGGTCCCGGTGGACGTGAACGACAAAGCGTACACGACAGTCCGTTAGCGGTGCGTTTTCAACCCCGAATGGCATAACAACAACCCCGACTGATATATCCTCCACTGAAAATGTTAATTGGGTAAGGACAGGACGAACAAGAAAGAACTGGACGTTCAACGTCGATATTTTGAAGTCCGTCGAATATAACAAACCTAATGACAAAAACGGATACAAATTACCCTACCTAGTTTTAAGTTGACATTTTGTTCCACAATTCATTTACAAATGTAAATTGAAATGAGTTACAACTCAACTGGGTTGTTTGCGATCAGTTGAGCCAGCACTTTCATAAAAAAACTAACTAACTTTTAACTTTCAACGCAGGCCTGGTCAAAGAATACGATTAAAAACCTCTTCGATGCGGAATATCTGAACGACTAAATATTTTTTTTATTAGAAATTAACTACCTGGTTAGTAGCGAACAAAAAAATCTGTACTTTATTGTGTTAACTTGACGTCAGAGACTATATTCGGCGGAACCCGAAATATATTCGGGTTCCGTCGAAATCGATGGTTAACCATAAGCGTTTTTAACTTTTGTTTAGTAGAGTTATTTTTTAACTATGTCAACCAACCAAGACGGTGGCTTTCCCGAACTCATACATTTAACAAATTTAACAACATCCAGGCGTTTAATACGTTTCCAAATTCCTGACTTTACCTCGTAACAGGAGTGTCGTTACCTACCATTCATATTGTAAAATCACAATTTTTTTTGACCTATGTTAGTCGCAACAAATTCGTCAGACCAACAAGCCGCGTTTCTGTAAACAATGGTGTACGTATGTTACAACCCGAATGGCGTAGTGGGCAGTGTACCTGCCTCCGGCGCCAGAGGGTGTGGTTTGGATCCCCACTAGCGGAAAAATATTGTGTGATGAACATAGTGTTTTTCTAGTGTCTGGGTGTTTATATATGTGTAATATGTATTTATTTACAAAAGAAAAGTATGTTTATCAGTTATCTAGTACCCATAGTACAAGCGATTCTTAGATTGGGACTAGAGAACGTTGTGTAAAAATGTGTCCTAAAATCACCTGCATACGAAAGTGAACCTTATCCCTAATATAAATATGGTCCTTCGAGCCTTGAATTGTGAGAAAAACTGCTGTAACGTAGTTTTATTTAGCTACATCCATTATCTTGTTTTAACGGAAATGTTAATAACTATCGGCTCATGTCCGCAATTGTCCTGTCATTTCAATCTTGAGGATCATGTGAAGCTTCATCAGATACTGAGTCCTGCTTCCCAGTCCAGACACGGAAACGCTGCTGTTCCTATAGCTCTGTTAGGATTAAAGTCACTTGAATGACTGCTTTTAATAAGCGATGTTTACACTTTCAGCTCGTAGAAAATAATATAAAGCTTCTTGAGTCACAGTGCTGCTTACTTTGAAGCTGATAAAGGTATTTTTAAACACAAAGTTAATTAAAAATTTGTGTGTGTTAAAAAAAATGTTCAATATGTCTTGGCTGTATTGAGTAGATTCCCGGGTTTAGTGTTTTAGATGCTACGTAAGTTGGGTTTTAGATCTCTTCGGTGCTTTTTACTTTAGATCCTTTAAAGGATATGTCTTTATTCAAGGGACTGTCTTTGGCTAATGGCCTTCGTCTTGGGTCTTCGGGCCTTTAGGTTGCCCCCCAGCGTCTGGATGGTGCACCCTCATATGCAGCCGGAGACTGTTGTTCTGGACGAACGCCTGCCCGCACAGCTCGCAGGCGAACCTACGATCACCGTTGTGTATCCTCATGTGGTCCCTCAGCGTCTGCTTCCGCGCGTACGACTTCCGGCACACGTCGCACTGGTGCACCCGCTCGCCGACGTGCCTCACCATGTGCTTCTGCACGTGGCTCCTGGAGAAGAATCTCTGGTCGCACATTGGGCACGCGAAGTTCTTCTCGCGCAGGTGCACCTCCTTCAGGTGGGCGCGCATCTTGCTGGCGATGGGGAAGCTCTTCCGGCAGACGGGGCAGTGGATTGTGGGCAGGTCCGCGCCGTGGGCGGTGCTGTGGTGGCTCTTGCGGGCGCCGTAGCTCGCGAACGTCTCCGAGCAGTGCAGGCACTTGACCCTCCGCCTCCCGTGGGCCCTCCTCTCGTGCGAGGTCCTCTGCGCCGGCGAGCTGAAGGTCTCCGCGCAGCACCCGCACCGGTGTATGGGCCCGTGGCCGGCCGCGTGGCAGCGCAGCCGTTCGCGGCTCAGGAAAGGCTTCCCGCAGAGCTCGCACACGTAGTTCCCGTAGTGGGTGTTCATGTGCTGGTTCAGCTTGATGAAGTATTGGAACTCCGCGTCGCAGACGGCGCAGTGGAAGCGGTCCGAGCGGAGCGCGTACGGGACCACGCCGTAGTCCAGACCCGCGAAGGATTTCCTGTGGGCGCTCTCGAGGTGGGCTATCAGGGCGCCGAGGCCGTCCAAGCTGACGTCGCAAATTGAGCAAGTCATGGAGGAAACGTCTATTTTGACCCGCTCGTCGCGCCTCAGGTAGCTGACTGCCGACTTGATTCTTGGCTCCGGGTGTTCTGCCTTAGTGTGCTCTTTAAGGGACGCGGTGTCTTTAAAGGCGCGGTGGCAGTAGAAGCAGAGGAAGTTCTGCCTGTGCCACTTGAACGGCGTGGCCGTGGAACACTCTAGGACGGTGGCGGCGTTGAGTTTCATCAGGCGGTGGCGGCGCGTTGCCGACATCGAGGACTTATTCAATGCCTCGTCGGCCGCCCGTGGGCGGTTCGCACCTAAAACGGGAAAGCAGACGGTCAGTTGACTCCGTCGTTTGCTACTGAGGGGCGATCGGCGTATTTCGTGTTAAGGCCTCGATCGAAGTTGTCGTGGCCTCCTTCTCGCATACACAAGAGGGTGTACCTGTAAGGAGTTCATCATTCCGTCCTATTACAATGTGAGCGTCTTCGAGGTAAGAATGATCAGGCTTTGCTGAGCTGATAAAAGGCAACGTTAATACACGACTTACTATTGGCTTGAATAGGACACTAGCAAATCCGATATGATAGAAAAACCACACGATAGTAACATCAGTTTCTTCCTTGCTGCTCACGCAGAACGAATTCGGAATTGTGACGGCTATGTCTTTACGGGCATTTTACACAAGCATCTGATGTGGCGCCGGATTTTCTTTTGTGTTTGTCAAATCACCTGCCTCTATCAACCAATACCGCGGGATAATAGAAGTAAATGGACCTTACAATACTTTATCTGTACTACAATCTAATACAAATAATATATTACATAAAGATTATTTATATTCTCTATATATAGTCTAGCAATACTGAGTAGACAGATATAGCTTGCACTTTAT